GGCGGGAGCACCAAGGCCTCAATGCCATCTGGCGTGGGAGCCAGCGCGGAGCGCAGATTCTCCGGGAGCACCAAGGCCTCAATGCCGTCCTGCGCGGGAGCCAACGTGGAGCGTGGTCCGAGCGGGAGCCGGCGGCTCCTTCGGGAACACCAAGGCCTGAACGCCGTCCGGCGTGCCGTGTCGCTGGGACCGTGTGCCTCCCTTCTGCTCYGCTTTGATTGTGCCGCCATTAGGTGGAAATGAGAGATGAACTGATCAAATGCTCCTCAGAACGGCTTTAGGGTTTCAGTTTGAATATATATATATATTTTTAATTAGCTGCATGTAAAGACTTTATGACTCCAAATAGCAGCCAYGAAACCAGCAGCCTCGCAGTTTGATCCTTTGTTTTTTCTGGTGCACAAGGAGTCTTGGTAGCTCTAGGTTTTATACCCAGCCAGAGCCTCTGAACCGCAGCTAACAGCCGGTGGAAACATCAAGTGATTATCTTATAAGTATGCCTATCAGGGACACATGAAAAGGAGTGCTGTGTGCGTATAGAATTAGACTGACGAGTAGCAGAGCAGGCAGCTGCATTTTAACAGGAGCAAAGATGGTCTTTAATAACATAGAGGATATTGTAGCACATCGAATGTTATGCTATTTTTTTCACTTTAAAAACACTTCTTCCCTTGTCCTAGTTGCTAGGACTTTTATGCTRTGAGCTAGAGGAATGATTTAAGCATTTTTATCTCTGATTGATTTTCAAAGGACTGAGAAAAGAGATGACCTGGAGTGAGTGCTGGTGGGTTTCTGTCTTCGAAAGCCTCCTGTCCCCTTTTTCTTGAGCCAGCTGGAGCCTGGATAGCGCCTGGAGCCTGGGTTACCCTGAGGGTGACGCAGCGAAGTCCTGGATCTGAGTGACTCCGCCATTTCGAAAGGCTTGACAATGTAAAGTTGCCTMTTAGAGGAAACTGTAACGTGGGATTAATTAGCCTGGGCGAGCTAGGACAGTGGCAATGTGCTGACTTGTTACTACATGTCCCAGGTTGGGCCAGGCCAGGAGTCTGCTACAGGCTTATGTCTGGCCATCTTGGAAATTGTTTAACTGTCCCGTGCTTTTATTAACTCAAAACGTGAATTGGAGCAGCCTTTGCAAGAGGCTGACTGCCTTGGTTCAGACTTGCCAGTATCTGCTGGATGTCATTTGAATTGGCAGAACTGAAGTGTCTCGTGTGGATCTGTAAGCATGAGAGCAGAATGAAACCTTGCGTTTTCAGCATCATCAGGGGGAGCTGAGTAATCTGCTGTGTCCTGCGATGAGGAGGCAASACCAGGGACCTCCTGAGCTCCTTTGCAACCTCAGTGATTGTGTGATACAAGAGCAAACCAGTTGTTCCAGGTTGTGAGGTGCACGTTTTGCACCTTGTGTGGTACTTCATGTTCTCATTCTTTTGTCTGTGAAGTCTGTTTTCTTCACAGTTGCAGATTTTTTTGTCTTCCACTCAGCGGTCTGTGTGTTGATATCCCCTAAGGAACCTGCTTCTCTCGTTCACTACTAGTAATACGATTAAAATTTGTCAGGCTTGCTGCTGCAGCAGAGCTGGCTGCACGTGCTGAAGTGGCTGCAGCTGCTCAAAGAGTAGAGAAAATTGGTTTGGGCTGCTCGTGTTCTCCAGCTGAGAGAAGAGAACACATCTGGCGAATGTGCATCCTTTGGTCCTCAGAAAACCTGTGGGATAGCTATGGGATACCTTGTGGAGAGGTTGCTAAGAATTGTTTGGCATTTTTCCATGAATGATGGAGGGATGAGACTCACTTCCCAGCAGTGTTTTGCAACCATCTGTATTGTGACAAACTAGGGAAACACCTTCTGTGTCTGTACTCCTCCCTGCACGATCCACGCATGTTGCCAGTTGTGGTAGCAGTATGAGCCACCTGATAGGGAAATGTGTTATAGGCCCATTAAAAAGCAACAAGAATGTGTTTACTGGCTGTATCTCATTCCAGATGCTTCATAGCTTTAGGGACAACAGGGATCTCCACAAAATGATTGCATGTACCACATCTCTCCTATGGAACTTGCACTGTTTGACCAACACTTAAAATAAAATAGCCCTTAAGAGCTTGCGAGGGCCAAGGAGCAGGAGATGCAGGGCTGTCAGCAGGGTGAGGCAGTGGGCAATACCAGTTGAAAGAGGCCGTGAAGGAGCAGAACTTTTGACAGCAAGGTCAGTGCTGTTGAACTGTAGCCATGGAGAAGATTAAGTAGGTGATCTGAGTACTGGTCAGTGACCTATGAGATGCTGCTGTGAAGTGCAGAGAGGGAGGAAGGAAATCACACCTTAGCTCCATATCTGGTTTGTATCCAGAGGAAAACTTCCTCTCTGCCTCCGTACTGGTTTTGCTTCTAGTAACATAGAAGAGCTGGAGCGGTGGGATGGTGGATGGTCAGGCACTGGGGTGGAGGAGAAGCAGCAGCTCTGCTTGGTAGCTGACCTGTTACCATCTCAGTGTCTGCTGGGACTTTGAGATGGGTGATGTCCCGTCTGTGAGCRGGAGTGAGGGGGCAGGAGGAAACTAAGGAGTAACAAATCGCTGGGAGGACTGTGTGTGTGTGTTGAACCTGTGACGGATGCCTCGATGTTGTGCCTAGGCTTCTGCTCCGTGGCAATGCCCTGCACGAACAGGATGGGGGTCATGCAAAGAAGGTGGGGACAAACACATACACTGAGAAGCAGTAGAAAACTCTGCTTAGGAGAATAGTGAATCCCTTGGAAAGTAGAGGACTTATTTCTCAAAGGCACGAAGCAAGTATCCCAGGAAGCATCCCAGAACAGACTGGAGAAGCACAAGTGGGCTGTAGTTTAGATGACCCCGTATTAGAAAGGAGAGGGCCTCAAGGGCACTCTCAGGGTTTGTCTGAGGTAGGCTCACTTGTTTTAAGTTTTTCATGCTTAGTACTCACTTTCCTCCAAGTCCTAGCTGAGGAGGTATTTTGGCTTTCATGGCGATTTCGCTGTGCTGTTCTATGTGTGCTACTCCACAAAACTCCTGGGGACTCTTTCAGGGCCACCGTGCATGTGCTATTAATGGTTGACCTTTAAATGCCTACAGTCACTGATACAGAAATAGAAATAAGTCGAAATAAAACCAACAGATAACCATTACCGGAACATTACTGACTGTTGTATTTTATTATCCTAGGACTTCCCCAGCTGATAAAGACCAGCTCTCGGACCTGCAGAAAACTCATGATGGCATCCAGGAAAAGGGGAAACCACTGTCCAGTTTGGAGAGGGGGACGTGGAGGCTCTCTTCATCTTAAATAAACCCATTTTTCTCAGAGCTGGTTCTTGCTCAATTCTGAGGTTCAGCGCTCAGAAGAGCTAAGTTCTACCATGTGAAAGAGGAAAGTGTCCTCTTCTCTCTCGTATTCTGAAGAATCCTTTCCTGACATCCTGCTTCTTCCAGGTTCTGGGCTGCTATAAGGGAATCTGTGAGTAGAAGTAGGATGCCATGAAGTCTTGTATTGTTTATACAGATTGTTCCTTAAAAATTAGATTTAATATTAGTTTTTGTTCTGAGAAAATAAACCAGTCTGAGAACTAATGCTAGCAGAACTTGTGCCAACAATTTATTGTGCAAGAGTGATGAATGTCTCTTTCAGCGCAAGGAACTGGAATTTGGAAACAGGGTCCAATTTGTTGTTAGTATAGCTAGCTCCCTTCTTGGGCAACACGGTGTGTTTTACTCTTTGTTTTGTCTGAACGTTCCTATGCATGTTGATGCTAAATTTCAAATTACATGAAGGCTTTTTTTTCCTATTCAGGCATTGCTGACTTTTCTATGTTTGCTCAGGTTGGTTTCCTTCTGGAGCAAAACTCACCGTATCCTCCCTGCATGTCTCTGAACATAGACCTTGGTGGTGTGACCGAGTTAATAAACACAAAACCAAATGCCTCTTGGTGAACCTGTGGCAGGCAAATACAGAGCTAGAGAGAAACTGCTTGAATTCCATGGAGGAGGAACCTGGTAACCTGAAACGATGTTTTTATGGCATTTGTCCCCTCTGTGCTTGGCCAGCAAGGTTAATGTCTTCCAAATGTACTCCAGTGCCTCGTTGTTGACTTGCAGGGCATGGAGGGTTGCCCGTGGTGAATGCGTGTTCCAAGGCGGCTGCTTGCCAGGAGAGAAAGGTCTTCAGAATTCCTATTTGCCCCAGTTCTGCCAGCATCTTTATGGCTTTTGCATTCCGTACCACCAGACTTTGACAGTATCTTAAAATAAAATGCCCTCTCTGTAAGACATTCTGAAAAGAGGGAAGTGGACGAAAGCTTTGGGTTGGCAGCACCTTCTAAGCACACTTCTGGACCTTTTTGCTTGCCTGTTTATTCTGGTCCTCTGCCTGTGGGGAAAGGACATTCTGGTAGCTGAGAGAAAGAAGGTCAAATCCTGCTGCGCTCCTTAGTCTGAAGAAAGGACAGATACAAAGGCAGTGTGGACTTTGGGTCATTTGTAGTCATTTGCCTTATTTTCTTTCCTAGATGTACTTTCCCAAAAGATTCCAAGAATATAAATGTGGTGATCAGAAAGGAAGAAATACAGCTGTATAATAATAATTTTCTTGAATTATACAATAAACCACTTTACTTTTTTCCAGAGTCTTGATGAATAGTGTACAGTTCAGTCAGTACACAACTGAAATTCAGATATTGCACGTAAGGTAGTTGGCAGGGTTTTTAACTGGGTTGAGCAGGCAAATCAAAGCACACACTTTGATTAAAAGATTACAAGCCCGTGCTCTCATTTTGTTAAATGTGGCCAATTTCTCATGTTTGGATTTCCATCACTATGGTAGCTGGACCTTCCCAGCTGTTCTCAAGGCACACAGACTATGAAGGCAGCCTTATCTCAAGCTCACTGTTGCTCTTTTCCAGAACAGGATTAAAAGTTTATCCCCATCAGTCCCCAYTTGGTTGGCAATGAAGTGGATGGCTCGCTGATCCCTTTTTGCTGGGTAGACACTAGATGGCAATGCATCCCTCATAATACTTTGATAAAAGGAAGCAGCCCAGGGGTTCRTTTCTGATGGGCTTAATATCTGGATATTGCTCTTTTTCTGTACAAATTGTTCCAATAGCTTCCTTCGGTCAGAWGCTGATGCCAGCTCCATGCAAGGAGCAGAGAGCTTAGCGTTCTGTGACTGAGAATACACCGCGAGGCCTGGAGACACAAATGTGGTACAGTTTTCTAGCACAGTTGTGCCTTCAGGAAACTTTCTTCAGCCTTTTGTGGACCTGAGGTGCGGTGTTTTGGCACTTGTCTGATAGCCTTCAGCTGCTGGCGTTAAGTGAGCGCACSCGAGTGCCCTTGAAAATGGAAACTTGTCCCTATGCAAGTAGCTGCAAGGGCAAAGGCAGCACCTGGAGCTGGCTTGGAGAAATTCCCCTCTGGGAGAGATCAGTCCTGCAACATCCGAAGTACCCCCCCATGCTTGGGCCGTGGTGCGTGGGTGCTGGTGCGACGGCTCGGGGCGCAGCACGGATTGGGTTTGGGAGTTTTGGCAAGATCCCTGCTGCTGCCGTCAGCCGCCTGCTGCAAAGCGCCTTGCAGAGCTGCCAGGGACGGCAGTGACCCTTCCCAGGAGATGGCTCCCCGCCTGCAGCCTGCATTGGACCTGGAGTCTGTCCCGGGGTTCATGGCTAGTTTGCYGATACCCTAAGGACTTTCTGTTGTTGACTAGAGCTCACCAAAATGCAATTTTTCATTTTTTTTCCTTATCTATAATAAATTGCCAATAATTGGTACTGCTGTTTCTTTTCTGAAGAAACACAAACTTTCAGCCTCTGAAAGAAATGYGGCCCAAACTAAAAAGTTTTGCAAAGAATCTCGATTTGTAATTGTTAATCAGTAAATTTGGACCTTCAAGTTTGCTATTGAGACTTTTTGACCAAAATGCCTTTACATTTTATTTTTCCTTCTCTCTTCYAAACAGTTTTACAAATATCTTTGGAACGTCCCAGGGAGAAACTATTTTGAAGGCTTGTTACCTTTTACAGCTCCAAAATGGTCTTGTATTTTCAGTTTGGGTTTATCTAATGCCATCTTGCAGCTTCTGAACCTCACTGAGTATTTGCCAGATTAAAACAGTATCTAGTATCATGTGCTGTCTTCCTGGCGTGGGTGAGTTTAACCAAAACCTAAGATACTGTCTGCCCTCGATCCCTCTTTTGGTCCAGTTCCTTGATTTGTGAAGGAAAGGTAAAACCCATGTGAAGCGTTAAAATAGATGCTGSCCCTCTGCAAGGTGGTGGAGAGTCAAGTCTCCCAGCTTGTTGCCCTTGCTCGTMATGTGCTTGGTGCCACCAAGCCCCCGGGATACCCCAGGGGGGCACCARGCCCCAGCGCTTTGGCCCGTGGACTCCGAGAGCTGCTGCGGACCTCAGGGCGTGCTGCGGACCTTGGAGCACCCTGCAGACCTCAGGGCGTGCTGCTGCACCAGCCCCAAGCCTGGGCTAACGGCCTCGCCTTGCAAGCTGCCCGCCACCCCAGGGAGAGACAAGCACACAGGGTGGCAGAGAGAGGGTGGGATGACCTGGTGAGGGCCTCTCAGCAGCCAGCAAGGAGAGATACTGGGGGGTGCTCTGGTTTTGGCAGCTGCTGTTATGGTGGTGACCACGAGCATCTCCCCTCGGCGGGTCCTCCTGTGCCCTTCCCGGTCTCCCCGTCTTTGGGGGCTGCTGCCGGCTCTGGTTGCTCATCAAGAGGCTGTCGGGCCGGGAGCTGTGCAGAGGGCCCGGTGGAAAGGTGGAGCCTGACTTGTTCCTGGGGCGCAGAGCTGCTCGGGCCGGGGTGCTCGCGGGGCCCTGCCCGATGCAGCGCCAGGCGCGGGCACCGCGCGCCTATTTTTACCCGCTCCGCGCTCCCTGCCCCCGCGTTTGTGTTGGCACCCGCCGCAGAGCGAAGCCGCTTTAATTGGCAGTTGTGTTTGCGGCCAGGGTGCTATGAAAAGGGTTTCTGTCTCGCTCTCTAAGTTCCCCCGAATATGTTTTCCTTCTTAATATAATATTCACTTCATTATTAGCTGAAAGAACCTCTTTTGAAAGGTTTCTTTCCTCCCTCCCCACTTCACTCCCCCCTTTCTTCCAAAAATATATGAACCGCTCCCTTCACACAGAAGCGCTCTGAGGCCGGGATTGTCCGCCGGAGGGGAAGCGAGAAGCCCGCCGGCAAGCGGGATTTACACAGAAATTCCTTTCTGTCCCAGGAACAGTGCCCCAATGTGCGGCCGCGGCGGCCGGCCGGGCGAGGCGGCGCTCGCGGCAGCGCTGCGTGAGACGCTCTGCGCGAGCCCCTCCACAGACTTTTCCCCTTCACCGCACGGCCTTTTATTTATTTCTTTATTTATTGGTTTGTTCCTTGCATTGGGTGCCCGTTGGGGCACCTCGCGGTGCTGCGAGGTGGCGGGGGTTCTTCCTGCCTCTGCGAGGCCGGGAGGATTGGGCTGCCCCTAGGTGGGTTCTTAGGGGCATCGTGCATGGTCGCCAGGGCCCTTCTTCATTAGGGGCTCTGCAAACGTGGGATTTCTGTAAGGGCTTTGTCTCTGGCCTGAGGAAACCACTCCTGCTCCCGCAGGTCATGGAGGAGATGCTGCCCTTGGCTGCAGGATGGTCCCCAAGAGCTTCCAGCCTCCTGGGGCTGTCTCAGCCCTCCCTTGGGTGCTGGACGGTAGAGGCCTTGTTTGGTCCTGGGGGAGGACGAGCTTTGCTTTCCTCTCTCGCCCTTGCATCTGAGCTCTGCTGGTTAGAGGGCTGCCCAAACAGCCCAGGTTGCAGCAACAGGGACTGATGCGAAAGAGACACGTGGCCCAGAGCACACTTGCCTGAGGGAAGACGGAGCAAGAGGACAGAGCRAACACAGCTTCCACCAAGAGGCCACCAGGCTCCCCGGTGTCTCCTCCAGGCCTCTGGCGCCAGCAAGGAGGCCTGCTGTGCTCCTCTTGACCTTGGCCCRTGTAGAGGTACGTGTCCTCAGTTGAGTGAGGGTTCAAGCAAGGCCCATGGCAATGGGTATCTTAAAAATGCCACATCAGGTATTGCTTTCCCAAATTGGGTCACAATCTAAAGTCCTTCCAAAGAAGAAACAAGCTCACGCTGCAGGAGGAGCCAGGGCCACATGCAGGCAGCATTCCCCATCGGGGCTTTGTCGCAGTCCATTATGTGGACCCAGCTTTCCATGGAATCGCTCACCGTGCTCCTGTCAGACCTCTGGCAAGAGCTGCCTGGAGAGCAGTCCCTCAACTTGCTGAAAAAGGCAGAGGAAGGTGCATGGCTGTTTTTCATCATGAGGTTGCACGGGATCCAACATTAGAAGAGGATTCTCTGGTGTGAATTTTACTAATCTCCAYGTTCTTGTTTAAGAAATGAAGTAATCTGCCTGTGGTTTTTGAACACCTTCATCTAAAGAAACAAGGTGAGGCTTCCGTCTGCTTTTCTCCAAAAGGCAATTATTGTACACGCGCACAACTTGTTAGGTAAATCTGTAAGCATTCTGAGGGCTGGGAGTAAAGATTTACTGCAAGGAGGAAAGCCAAGAATAGCCTCCATTGCAACAGCAAGGTGAGTGTGCAGGCCATCCTGAGGCTTTTCCCAAGGCTTGTGTTTCCTGGGAAGGACTCCACTGCCCTCCCGTYCCCTGAACTCCAGGGCTGCTGTGGGAGGTTGCTGGGGTCCTGCTGGATCCCTATAGCCTTCCTCAAAGACAGGTAGAGCTTAACTGAGGTAGAGCTCAAGGTGCTCCCATGAGGGATATGGAGGAGTCTGGAGTAACCACCTTGGAGTCCACGTTCCTCCTTCTTTAAAGGAGAGTTAACCACAAACCCTGCTCTGCCTTGTTCCGAAGCATGGGAGCCAAGCGACTGTGCTCCTTCCCCTGTGGTCAGCTGGGCTCATTCCTTATGATCCTGTGAAACRCGTTAGGGTAGTGCCATGCGTTGATGAGTATTCAAGACCTGGTGTAGTTGGGAACAATTGGCAGTTGTTTTGGGGARCATCTCTTTGCAATTGCTCCTGGTGCTGAGCTCTGTCTCACAACTGATGTAGCCTTCACGTCCCGTCCTGTTCTGGAGATGGCCATGACGAGGATTGGCACTGAAG